GCTGCGGCCGCCCTTCCTCCGGACGTGGGCGCGCGGCGGGCTGGGCGGCGCGGCGACCCTGGCCCCGCAGGTGCTCCTGGCCGGCCTGGCCCGCGTGTACGGCAACGTCTTCAGCTTCTTCGTGGGCCACTACCTGGTGGTGGTCCTCAGCGACTTCCACAGCGTGAAGGAGGCGCTGGTGCAGCAGGCCGAGGTGTTCAGCGACCGCCCGCGGATGCCGCTCGTCTCCATCATCACCAAGGAGAAGGGTGAGCGCGGGGGGCGCGGGCCGGCGCCAGATGCACCGGCAGCAGTTGGGGTGCGCCGCCCAGCCCGCCTCACACCTGCATCCTGCCCGGAGGGGGATGGGTGCTCCGGAGATCCCCTGAGATGGGGCAGGGGAGGGGGAACCCACGCCGTGAGAGCAGGACCACAGCGAAGCGTCCGTCCTTCCAGGGGCATTCTCGCGGTCCTGGGAGAGGGGTCTCTTCTGGCAGTGGCCCCTGGAAGACCTGGCCCTGAACTCTGCGTGCGGGCTGCAGGGCGTTTTCCCATAGGATGGAAAGTCCCAGAAGCACGCCAGGGGCCTGTTATCAGCCTCTGCGCTGGCTCGTGTCCTCCGTGGTTCGAGGTCATGGAACCTGCGCTGGACAGTTGCACACTTTCGGGAGCACGATCTGCTGCGGGGGAGGACACAGTCTGCCCCAAATTACCCAGTCAGGCGTCTCCTTCGTCTTACCCTGCACAGGTCCCAGCCCCCTCCACCTGCTGACCCGCCACCAGCCAGGTGTCCATGTGCGGTTCTCAGGGGAGATTCCTGAGCGCTGCCCCCACAGGGCCTGGCTCCTCCTCGAGCAGTTTCCCCGCGTCTCCCGCAGCGCTTCTTCCTTCCTTGCGCTTCTTCCTTCCTTGCGCTTTGCAGACCTGAGGCCACATAATTTCCTAACCTGGGCCGCTGGTGGGTCTTCACCCTCACCTGCCTGGAGCCAGGAGACAGCCATTACTGCTCCTGTAGGAGGGCACAGCTGGTATTAAGTAAGTGAGGGGCTGTTTCTTTCCTGGGATGTGGCACGGAAGAGCCAGGCTTTTTAGAATCTGTTAAAGCTGACATTGGGGTAAGGATTTTAAGCAATTAGTAATGACCATCTTTTTTTTTTTTGGCTAGATGGTGCTCGCACTCACCAGAGAGAGGAGGAGATGAGAAAGCATCCCCATGGGGCACAGTCACAGGGCAGGCTCTTCTCCATTTATGTGGTCCTCGCGGGACATACGGCATACATGTACATGTGCCCGGGACCCAGCCGCCTTAGCCACCAGACCACAGAGGGGGCCGATCTTCATAATACAATACTTTATATGCCACAGTTCACACCGTCCCTTCTCCATGGGTTCCCACACTGCTTCTTTTTTTTTAATTACTTTATCTTTATTTATTATTACTTTTTTAAAAATTTGACCAGAGAGAGACAGAGAAAGAGGGAAAGCGAAAAAGCAAGCCACCAGGTCTGGGACTCAAACTGCGATTGGCCATGTGGGAGTGCAGTGGCTCTAACCACCACGCCACCTGTCGACCTCCCCACACTGCTTCTACTACTGGGATTCTCTAATGGCCTCAGAGCTGCCTGGAAGGTCTTACCTGCTCTCCCCCCACCCCCGCACCTTTCTTTCCAACTGTGGTAAAACAAACATGCCATCAAATTTGCCATAGTCCTCATTTTTGAGTGCACAGGCCAGAGACCTCAGGACCTTTCACGCGGTTGTGTAATCACCCCTCGCCTATCCACAGAACTGTCCCTACCCTGCGACGCTGACACTCCGGCACCCCTTAGCAGTGGCTCCTGGCTCTCCCCTCCAGCCCCTGATAGCTCCCCCCTCCCTTCTGTCCCTGTGTGTTCTGTGCTGTGGGCACGTCATGTGCGTGGAGTCACACAGGGGCCATTCTTTTATGGTTGACGCTGAATTTAGCATGATGTCTGAGAATGAATGCATCTGTGTTGTGCCACGTGTGAGAATTTCCTTCTGAAGACGGAATAATATGCCATTGCATATGCTAGGAGACTTCAAACAGTTGGTGGAAAATGAAATTAAAAGGTAAAAGTCAATTGAGAATTATTTGAGAAGTAATTCTCAAAATAAGCTCCGTCAAATTCAAGACACTTGTGTAGGCTGATGATTACCAGTCAGTTAGTCCGTCCCTAAAGAACTAATGCTTTAGAATTTAACCGTGTCTGTGGTCTTTGTTACATTTAACTGAGGAAAATGGTGCCCTTTGAAAACTTTAAGGGGCTGGCAGGCGGCATGGTAGTTTGGGTACTGGACTCCTATATGACTCCCCATGTTTCGAGTCCCAGAACTGGCTGTTTCCTCACGTTCCCTTTTTCTCTCTCTGGTCAATTAAAGAAAATGATAGTGAATAAAGTTAAATAATTTATTTTTTTTAAAAATTACTTTTTAAGAATATTAAACAAAAAGAAGTGAGAAAGCACCAAATTAGGACCTCAGGTGGCCACCTAGTGATTTCCCATCGAAATTGTTGCAAAATCGCCCTTGTGAGCGAAGGGAGCAAGTGGGAGCGCCGTCGCGGGGGGAGGACGTCTTGGTGAAGATTTTCTGCCAAAGCTCTGGTTAACTTTTCTCAGAGCACTCTCAGAATAAGCAGATGTTGTCGTTCTTGGGCTCTTTACAAAGTCAACAAGGCGCAATGCCTCCAGCATCCCCCCAAACTGTTGACGTAACCTTTGCTCTTGACGCATCTACCCGTGCTCCGACTGGACCGAGTCCACCTCCGGGAGCCGTCGCTCTGACTGCGCTTTGTCGTCAGGATCCTCCTGGTAAGCCGCCTCACGTCTCAGGACCAGCGTTACAGGGTGAGGGGACCGGCTTCGGCGTCTCGATCCCTTATTTACAACGTCTCTGGAAAGCTCTGCTCTCGTCTGCAGCTGATGGGCAGAGCAGTTTCAGCACCGTCAGCAGAAAGTCTGCTAACTCTGCCTTTAACCAGAACTGTACGCCGGGCCCGGAGGAGTCCACGGCTCCGGCTGCGGCTGCTGTCAGTCGTCAGTGCGGCACAAGCGAGCTTAGCTGTTCCTTGCAAGTCGATGCGGACGGCCCGTCTGCCACTGCAGTCATCGACGCCGTCTCCCCCTTCTTTCTTCGTTCTCTCTGCCTCTCACGCCCTCTCCCTCGTTTAATTTACCAGAGAGCACATGTGCTAACTGGAGAGAGAGAGAGGGAGTGAGAGAGCACCAGGGGCATGGTCACGCTGCCGCTCTCTCCTCCGTTTCTCTCTCCTTCGGGTTCTAGGCGTGCACGCGGACATGCCGTCACAGTGAGGGGGTAGGACCCTGGATGCGTTTGTCTTTCCTTGACATCGGGCTTATTGCACAGTGTGAAAGGTAGCCTGGCAACACAGCTGGTGAGGGACAAGAACTACCCGTGCCAGCCCACACCTGAGTAGTCTCTGGGGGCAGAGCCAGTCGTGGGTCCCCAGATGTTCCACGGTGACAGCCAGTCTGATCCGTTCCAGTCTGATGTGTTCCTGAAGGTCTCACACAGGGTCCAAGGATGGGTGCTGAGCCCAGCACAGAGGCCTCGAGTCTTGGGCAATTGTAGGTACCAAGTTGCATGGGTCTCTGAGTGGCATGGATTGGGGGCCTGGCCATGGTGCCCATGCCCGGAGTGAATGCAGGGGGCCAGTGAGGGCTCCTCCTATGTCCCAGAGAGGGCAGAGTCTCCTGGATAAGCCCCTGGGTCTGTGATCAGCACACGGTCTGTGCATCCCCGCCGGGGTGGACCGGTGTGTCTTGGTGTTTCTGTTACTCCCCGGGGTATCCCCATTATGCCCTCTGGGTTGGGCAGGTGAAAGAAGAAGTTAGGTACACGTCACACTTTTTATTGCTCAGTGCAGTCTTGTCACTGCAGAGTCTGTGTTGTTAACTGTGCCTTCCACATGCACCCAGCCTGCTTCTCAGCCCGCCCGGTCTGGGACTCTTCACTGCACAGTCAGCCATGTGAGGTTCAGCTGCCTTAGCCACCAGGCCTGGGCCGACCTCATCGTGCCCCTCTTAAAACTGCATCGTCTGTTCATAAAGTGCTGACTGTGGGCATCGCTCTGTACACTCCGTAAAGCGTCAGCGATTTCATTCTTCCTCTCAAGCGTCAGTGTAAGTGGCGTGTGCATGAGTCCCCACTTCCAGTTGTTTGGGCTGCGTGCCTAGGAGTGGACGCGCTGTGTCATCTGACAATTCTGTTGAATGTTTTGAGGCCCTGCCAGACTGTCCCAGGGGGTGTTACTGTACCATGCTCCATTCCAGCACTGCACAGGGCCCCGTTTCTCGCACCCTTACCAGCAACTTCATATGCCTGCTTTTAAGACTGCACATAAATGTCTCCTCTCTGAGGGCATGCCCTCCGGCTCGGTCTCTGCCCCAGGTAGACGTCTCTACCCCAAGCAGACACACTCTTCTCTGTGGTACTCCGAGCTAAGCCTCCGCAGCCTCCGGTCAGTCTGCAGGTCCCGTCAATTCCCACTGCAGACCTGTGTCCATCTTCCGTCTAATTTCTCGGTCTCCACTGCCCACTGTCTTCACCCGAGCCAGCCCCATTCCTCATCTGAGAACCCAGAAGCCTCCTAACTGGCCTGCCTGCTTCCACTCTGGTCTTCTCTCCATGCTGCAGCCAGAGGTCTCTTCGGTAGATCGTGATGCAAACCAGGCTTCTCTGCAGCTGGAGCCAGTGGTCCCCTGGTGCCATCCTCAGCCACGGTGCCCTGAGGCTCTGGGCCGCTGCGTTCCCCATCCTCTCCGCGCTGTACTCTCACCTGTTCTGGGCACGGTCACTGGTTCCTGCCCAGCCTGGGCCTGGCCCCGGCCACCACACTGCCTTCCTCGGGCCTGGAGTAATCTTCCCTGGAGCA